CTGCTGCACCACCGGGCCGGCCCCCCAGTTCAGTCTTTTTAGGTTCTTTTCTCAGATGTCTTCTGATCCTTGGCTGCCTGTTTATACTAGGAATAGAGGCATTAAATAGCTAGTTGGGTGGGTTGTTTATTGAAGGCTTCATTAATGGGTTATCTGACTGACTGTTGCTTTGGGGGAACCCATTATGTAAGTATTTTAAGGCCTTTTCTTTGGGCTGGTCATATTCCCAAGGGAGGAATATTTCAATCTCCTTCCTGAAGAGTAAGCCTGGCTACTAGCATTTTAGAAACCCGGTAAGACTGGGAGATCTTAATATTCGGTATAGATGATGGTATTTTGGTGTGAGGAAGGGGGAGAGAGTAATATTTTAGAAGAGAGTCCATACCACCTTAGGCTTAAATCATCATCCTGTTTTATGTGGAAGATTGAAACCAGATGGCAACACAGCTTCTCTCTACCTCCAGTCCTTTAGTAGGATTGGGGATGTAGCTTTATTCATCTCCTTGACAATATGATATTGTTTGCTAATGGGTGAATTTAAACAATTACATTTATTGTGATTACTGATCTGTTTGAACGTGTTCCCATCATCTTATTTTGTGCTTTTTGTTTAGGAGGCCTGTGTGCGTGTGTGTGTATCTTTGTCTGTATCTTTCTTCCCTCTATTGATGCTTTCTGTTGGAAATAATGAAATTTTTCTTTTTTTAAAGATTGGCTCCTGAGCTAAGATCTGTTGCCAATCTTCTTTTTCTTCTTCTTCTTCTTCTTCTCCCCGAAGCTCCCCAGTATGTAGTTGTATATTCTAGTTGTAGGTCCTTCTGGTTGTGCTATGTAGGACACCTCCTCAGCATGGCTTGATGAGTGGTGCCATGTCTGCCCCCAGGATCCAAAGCGGCGGAAACCCTGGGCCAGAAGCGCAACACGTGAATTTAATCACTCAGCCATGGGGCTAGCCCCGAAAATAATGAAATTTATTTTCCCTTTTTCAGTCTCCCCTGATGTGGAAGTGGTGGGTTATATTTCTGATTTTTGTTTCATGGTGGTGGTGGTGATTTGTTTGGTTTGTGTTTTTAATGGTTACCCTTGAATGTTTAAAAGATATTCTTGACCATATACTTTTTTAAAAAAATTATTCTGCATCTCTCTTCTTTAACTTTACCTATAGAACCTCCAAGGCAATTTCCTGTTACATTTATCTAGAATTTTTAAAAGTATTTTATCACAAAACTTAGTAATGTTATGTCTGTTATTAAATTAACCAACCTTGTATCAGTTTCTGTGTTTATCATTGTTTCTGACAACTTTCTTTTTCTCTCTGAGCTTTTTGTCTGAATCTTTGTTTTTTTCTCTGAATTTGATTTTCTTAATTCAAACTTTAATCTGGAAAAATAAATAGGCAACAATAGCAAGTATAGAAGTTCAGGCCAGGTAATAATTATATAGTTTCAGTAAATAAGACAGTGAATTAACATGAGATTAAGCAGATATTGTTGGAATGAAATGGATGGCTCACATTTAACTTTGAGAATGAAAAAGCAAGTGCTATAAATCATTGGGGAAGTAATGGATTATTCAGAACCATATTCAGGCATTATATCATTAATTTGGACAAAAAGACTTAGAATTCTATCTCATGCTATATTTCAAAGTTAGAGGTGTATTATTAAATTTTATATATAAAATGTCAAACTAGAGCAAAACTAGTAGAAAATAGAAATGCATATCAGACTTCTAAGGACTTTTTAAGCATAGGAGTTATTGGTTGAAATGGATAGTTAATATGTAAATGTACCTTTAAAAACAAAGGATATATGAATGTGAAATTTTTTTGAAAAGCATAAAGCCTTACAGATAGAAATTATTTATGTGTTATAGGTAGCGTATATGGTGGTGAGAGATGAGACTTTGAAAGCAAACATGACAATTACCTGCTTTGCAAAGTCAGAGCTCCATCCCCAGTAACTAACACTGAGTAAAATTTGTTCAACAAATGTTCATTGAATACAGTTTGAATGAGCCTGTCTGGGGCAATTTCCTCATTTGTATGGTGACCACATACTGTAGTTTTCCTAGAACAGGCATGATTTATGCCTATTCTCCTAGCATAATTATTAATAATGCCCCTTGCCTTTATTCTCAGAAATGTACCAATTTTGTCATTAAACCACATGGCCACCTTATTTATAAAATTTGGAAAATGCCAGTCATCTAGAGTTGGTTTAAAGGTTACAAATAATGCCTGTAAAGAGTTAGACGCAGTACTTGGCACATAGTAGGTGTTCAGTAGTAGGTAGTCTTCGTCACGAATAGCATAGATTGCTTGTGCAAATACTGAGTTTTTTCCTCCCGGTTTTTAAAATTGAATATCTGGCAATATTTTAATATCATTTGATTTCTGAATTACCTTTTATTCTTAGGCAAAGAAGTCAACACTGACTTGGTAAGCTGTAATATTTATGTACAAAAAATTTGAATTGATATTTTATTAGTGATTATTACTATGTTTTCTCTGTACCTCAAACTCTTCATGAATAACTACTGATCTCAATAGTAATAATTATAATAATTTACATTTAGAGTTGTGTCAAGGTGTTTTTCAAGTATAAAAATGTTTTCTATAACAGATCAAATATCTAGAATAAGAATGTTTTGCTTTAGCTCTATGCATGGATTAGCTTCCTATGTATATATTATTCTGAAATTAGACATATTTTGAATTTAGCTTTAAGATCCAAATTTTATTCATTGAAGAATTTATCATTTTAAATGGATAGGGCAGACATTTATCTTTGAGTTATGAAATTTTGTTAAAAAATTAATATGCAAAAGAAAGATGTTTTAGTGACTTTAGAATAAATATTAAAAGCACTGTTTGCATAAAAGCCGTGTTAATTTATAACATCTACTTTTTACATAGGAAATCTCTGAGAAAAAGAGAATGTTTTTAGGAACTAATTTAATAGGGTTAAGGGTAACAGTTGTAGCCTTATATCATCAGCATTAGATACAGCATGTTTCTTTATTGTAGTGTTTTGTTTTCAGGCTTCATAGTATGGCAAAAGACTTGATTCACAGTAGTGTTACATTCATCTGAATACTCTCCTGAAAGTCAACCTGGGCAGGCCAATCTGGATTTAAACCGACAGCTCCATGCCCAACCATACTTTCCTAATCAATTGTGGTCTCATAAGAATTTAGAATGTATGTGGAGATGGCCAAACAAAAAAATGCTTATTCCAAGATCTGTGTCTGTTCTCCATCTCTCTCTCTTTCTGTCCTTCCCTCTCCCTCTCTTTCTCTCTCCCTGCCCCCTCCCCTTGACACCCAAACTAACGTATTGATGATCTTCCAGTTTGTGTAAACATGTCATAAATATGTATTTGTTACTAGTTTTGGAGGAAATATATCAGTTTTTGAGGTTGAAGTAGGAGATACATGCAGTAAGATTATTGAATTATGAACGAGATTTAGAGAATTTATTGATCTCTTACAATCCTAAAATTTTCAAGCCGCAGCTATAACTCTAGACTGCAGTGACTACTAAGTGCTATGTAATGTAAACCCTTACCAATATCTCAGGATTCTGACCATGCTTATATGTACTAGAAAGAGTCAAGAATTTCGTATAGAAATTTGACCAAATTTAATTTAATCTAGAAATTTGACTAAATTTATACAACATGGATTTTTAAAATTCAGTAGTTTTTGGTTATTACAAACATGCATCCTGTAGTTTCTTTAAAGGCTGATTTTTTTAAAGGCTTTAAACTGTCGTTCCTACTATCTTTAATGAATTGACAAATCATTTTGTCTATTGGTTGCCATTTACTCTTATTTTTCCCTGAATTAGTTGAATTAATTGCTTTAGCAAGCGTTGTGTTAAAAACTCAGTTTTCTAAGGGACCCTCTATTTGTTTCTTTCCACTCCTAGTTTTTCTTTTATATTTACCTCAACTATTTCTTTTTTTTTTTTTTAAAGATTTTATTTTTTCCCTTTTTCTCCCCAAAGCCCCCCAGTACATAGTTGTGTATTCTTCGTTGTGGGTCCTTCTAGTTGTGGCATGTGAGACGCTGCCTCAGCGTGGTTTGATGTGCAGTGCCATGTCCGCTCCCAGGATTCGAACCAATGAAACACTGGGCCGCCTGCAGTGGAGCGCACGACCTTAACCACTCAGCCACGGGGCCAGCCCCTCAACTATTTCTTTTAATAATACAAATTGGTTAGTCTCTCTTTCCTTATGAACATGACAAGAATGCAAAATAAGTATATAATGATTAGAATACACAGTCATGCATTGCTTAACAAAGGGGATCCATTCTGAGAAATGTGTCTTTAGGCACTTTCGTTGTTTTGTGAACATCATAGAGTGTACTTACACAAACCCAGATGGTATAGCTTACTACACACTGAGGCTATATGATACTAATCTTGTGGGACCACCATCATATATGCGGTTCGTCATTAACTGAAACGTCATTATGTGGCACATGACTGTATATGTATATCCAGTTATAGTGAAAATTAAACAATTTAATATAATCTTATATGGGGAAGGAATTTAAAAATTTTTTAAAGTGTGCGCTGTACTTTTTGTAGTTGGTGCACTGCAGAATGTACACAATTCCAAATAATAAACCCTTTTCTTGATAATTAAATAATGATAAAAGTTGAGACAGCTTGGATATGTGGTTACATATAGTAATTAAATTTATGAAGACTGAAGGCCCTATGAAGTACGTATAAACAACTCATGAGTTTCTGTATCATATGATTTGGATTCTTGACTATATCTTTTGTTTTACAGATCAGGAAATCCTGTGGTGTGTTAGTAAGGTAACACGTTATACCACATTATAGGCAGGGTTAAGCTTTATTAGATGCCACAATAAAATTGATATTTTTCTTTATTCTTTTGATGTAAAAAATTACCTCCAGTGTTTCCTTTCAAAACTTAAGCAGCAAACTAATAGAATTTTCATTGATCATAATTTGTTTCTAGAAGGACCAGAAAAACTATTGTAACCAAATCACCTGGCTGAGAGCACTTGACTGCAAAGCTGTGGACTATTTTATTTGAATTTAAAATCATCTACACCTTGGCTAACGAAGAAAAGGAACTATTGGGAGAAGGTGTGAATGCTTTGTATAATCTTAAATAAGTGAAATGTATATATTTTATATGTTTTTACTCAGATGTGTATCTCAAAATATAATAGTCTCAAGGACTCCTTAAATGTACATTAGTAAGCCTTTTTTCCTAAAGCAAATTTGACAAATGTCTTTATTTTAGGAAAAGAAAAGAAAGCGACTGGGATGCTTTGGATTCCTTTGATGTTCTCCCTTAACTTTTCCTGTTTTATATATTAAAGTAAATAAAATGGCCAAATTAAGATATTTCATAGTGTTTTTTCTTATTACCAGTATGTTAATATTTTCATTGATATTGATTTTGTAATTGTCTTATAATGTCACTGTTATAATTTATAAAATTAAAAAATTCATTGTCAGGTTTATTAAATGACTAGAATGGAGTCAGCTTTTTTTACTCAGGAAGTTTTAAGTTGATTGTGGTATATTATGTTTTAAAAACAAAGAAAAAACTCCCACAGAACTATATAGTTAGATTTATGGTGTTCACAAATTTTGGCTACTTTTACATGCTTTAGATGAGTGATTATTGAGAATTTATTAGAAAAATCTTGAATTTCCTCATGGTAGCTTTGGATTAAATACATATGGCTACAGATTAGCTGAAGTACTTGTCAAAATAAATTATAAGCTCAAGCTTCATTATCATTTGTAGTTTAAACATAGTGAATCTGATACAATGTTAGTTCATAATTTTGATGCTCTTTGCAGTAAATTTGATATAGAACAGTTGCTAAAGAAGCCCTGTTCAAATGTGTGACCATTTTTATGAAAAACATCTGGGGTAATTATAATTAGTTCAGGATGTGTACTGTTTAAAAATAATCTTGAATTCACAGAGAAAGAAGCGTATCTTTTCCTCAATGACTAGAATAATCCAAGTTAGTATAAAAACATTCTTTAAGTTATTGGTAGCTGTGCTTAGAGTATAATTTTAGAGTATTCCAAAAGGAAATAAGAAGTAAGTTTTATGTAAAATGCCAAATTGGCACTTTACACCTGTTAGTGTGTTTCGTTTAGAACAGCTGTGTCTTTTATTATCAGTAAACAGATGCAGAAAGTAATGGAATGTTTTAAAGCAATATGTTAATCCTGTCTTCCTCTACTGAACTGTCTCACAATATAGTGATTAAATATTGACCGTGCAGCTGTTACTTACAATTATAGAATTTCTTAGTTAATTTCTCCTTCCCAGGCCCAAATGTTTTAATATTTAGAGAACTAATTTCTAATCTTAAAGTGTATTTTAATGTAGTTTATTACAATTTGATCTCTAAAGATGTTATTTGTTATGGAGACAGACTCATATTTTTATAAAATTCATATTGTTTCTTTGAATTGACTAATATTCTGGGTGAGATAAACAAGTTTTTTAAAGTATTTTAAAAGATAAATTGTTCATGAATGTGAAGATGATTAAATATAATAATTTTGTTTCATTTTATGCTTGAAAAGTGCCATCAATGAGCTAAAATGAAAATTATGTTCCTTCATCAAATATTTATGGAGCAGACTGCGTAATGCTTTCTTAGAATAATGACCACATTCAGGCAAAACACCCTGCAAGTTATTTGAATTCTAGTAGCCCTTTTGCGGCTTAATTATGTTTTAATCTTTACATCTCACCTTGTCAGAAAAGGTATTTTAGAAGCCACTTCAGCAGTTATCACTTTTTTACTTAAGCTTGGGAAGAAGTTGTGTTAGCTAAAATTATTGTTAATAACAGCTAACACTGTGCTCTTAATATCTGAAAGGTATTGTGCAGAGAACTTTATATGTATTATAATATTGATGCTCCTTTTTGTAGATGAGGAAATTCAGTCTTGGAGACGTGAAGTAAATTAACTGAGGTCTTACAGCTGGAAAGTGGTGGAGACTGGATTTAAACCCAAGCATTTTCACTCTCAAGCTTCTTGTTCTTAACAACTTTGCATTTTTCCTGCCTTTAGCATCTAATATCAACATTTTACAGAAGGAAAATTATGTGCAAAGTGAACTTGACAGTGTCCTTTTTTTGAAGCCTCTATGTGCACCTCAAAGTGATAATTATATCATTTAGTCCTCTTGCCTAGAAGGAAAACACAGTTAAAACATGCATGCAAAGAGGGAGAGCTCCAATGCTTGGTATCCCGCCACACAATGACTGTGTCAGTGCTCTTCACTGTCATCCGAAGTGTCCTGTAACACAGATATTGTGACATAGTCTTCACTAGAAAGGATTTTCAAATACCCTCTTATAATTTTACTCATAATTGTGCTACTTTGTGGTGACAATTCCAACAATCTGTTCACCTTCCCAAAAAGAACCTTTCTTTGCTTCAAGAGATTTTACAGAGCAGCATGATGTAGTTTCTACCTATGTTATATTATTTATGCCTTGACCTAGAACTATCAGTTATATTGAAACTTATTAAATGACTGTTCTCTGTCAGATATGATTACTAACTACTTCTGTACTCTTACTTTACTTTGTCATTTCTCATAGGAAGTATCCCATTTTTTATACAAAGAAACAGACTTAGAGATATTAAATAAATTGATCCAGATTACAACTAGCAAATGATGTTTGTATACATTTGATTTTTTTTTTAAATATTGGCACCTGAGCTAACATCTGTTGCCAATCATCTTCTTTTTCGTTTTTTCCCTTCTTCTCCCCAAAGCCCCCCAGTACATAGTTGTATATTCTAGTCGTAGGTCCTTCTGGTTGTGCTGTGTAGGATGCCGCCTCAGCTTGGCTCAACGAGTGGTGCAGTGTGTGCGCCCAGGATCCGAACCGGTGAAATACTGGGCTGCCAAAGTGGAGCATGCGAACTTAACCACTGGGCCACAGGGCCGGCCCCTGATATTTTTCTTAAAAAAGAAAAACATTAGAAATCTAAAAGTGTACAGCTAATTATTTTTGTAGAGAGTTTTAAGATTTCCCTCTCTAACAGATGGTTACTTCGTCGTAGTTTTCCTTGACACTGATGAGAATGCTTATAAGATTAACCAGGGTCAGCAATGTCATGAGATATTGCTGGAAGAAATTTAATATAGTAGAAGTCCATTATAAGGCAGTTCTTAATAGGCAAAATGTTTTTTCATGCAAACTGCCTGAAATATCAAAAGACGAATAGACATATCTTTTTGCATGCAATAATATGGAATGTCATTTTTCATGTTATCAGACTTTTAAATGAATGAAAATTTCACGTATTTTGCTAAATTTAATCTCAGCTATCCTATAGTTATTCAACATTACTATTTTATTCAAATTATTTTTTATTAGTGTCTCTATCAAAATCCAGCACAGAGATTATAATAGTGTCTCTATCAAAACCCAACATAGAGAATATAAGAGATAAACAATAAAATTATCATTTTATGTAGTACAGAGATGTCCCAGGGAGAATTATTTGGTAATTTGGTTTTTTCTTTATGTTTTTGAAGACTTTTTTAAAATGAAAATTTATTTTGAGATAATTGTAGATTTACATGCAATTTTAAGAAAAAATAATACAGAGAGATCCCATGTACCCTTTATCCAATTCCCCTCAATGGTAACATTGCAAAATTATGTAGTATAATATCCCAACTAGGACATTAATGTTAATACAGTCAAGATACAGAACATTTCCATCGCAGACCCCTCACGTTAACCTTACACAGTGGCATCTACTTCCTTTCTACAGCCTTTCCCTCTGACAAGAACTAATCTGTTCTCCATTTCTGTAATTTTGTCATTTCAAGAATGTTATATAAATGGAATCATACAGTATGTAGCCTTTTGGGATTGGCTTCTTTTCATCATAATTCTCTGGGATTCATCTAGTTTGTTGCATGTATCAGCAGTTTGTCCTTTTTTTTTGCTGACTAGTATTCCATAGTATGGATGTACCATTTGTTTAACCATTCTCCCATTGAAGGACACCTAGGTTGTTTCCAAAACAATGTAAAATCTAGTTTCTTCCATAGTACTAAATATAAAATGTAAATATAGTTTTTACATTTTCTACCTAAGTCTATGATTGATTTTGAGTTAATTTTTGTATAAGGTTTGAAACTAGGTCCAGGTTCTTTTTTTGAGTGGTGGGAAGATAATGGATGCAAAATTGGTCCAGCACCATTTGCTTAAACAGCTACCTTTGCTCCATTAAATTGCTTTTGCACCTTACTAAAGAATCAGTTGGCCACATTTGTGTAGATGTGTTTCTTGATTTTCTTTTGTTTTCCATTATTCTATGTGTGTATCCCTCCACCAATATCATAAAGACTTGGTTACTGTAACTACATAATTTCTTGAAATTGGGCACTTTATTCCTCTTACTTTATTTTTCCAAATTGTTTTAGCTTTTCTAGCTCCTTTATCCTTCATATAAATTTTAAAATAGTCTCACCTATATCCACTAAAATTCTTACTGGGATTTTGATAGGAATTGAGTTAAGCTTGTCTATCAATGTGGGTAGTATTGAAATCTTTACTATATTGAGTCTTCCAATCCATGAACACCATATGTTTCTCCATTTATTTAGGATTTTTATTTGTTTCATCAGCTTTTTGTCGTTTCAGCTTCCAAGTACTGTATGTCTTGTTAGATTTATACCTAAGTAATGCATTTTTCTTGAATGGTTATAAAGGGTATTGTATTTTTATGTTTTGATGTCTACAGGATTATTGCTAGTATATAGAAGTACAGTTGGTTTTTGTGTGTTTATCTTGCATCCTGCTACCTTGCTGAACTCACTCATTCTAGGAGTTTTTTGTAGATTCCTTGAGATTTCCTGTATAGACAATCATGTCATCTGCATATAGGGACAGTTTTCTTTCTTTTCAGGCTTGATGCATTTGTTTTTCCTGTCTTTTGCCCTGGCTATAACTTACAACACTATGTTAAATAGAAGTGGTTTAGAGAAGACATCCTTTCCTTGTTCCCTGTCTTAGAGAGAAAGCATTCAGTTTTACCATTAACTGTAATGTTAGCCCTAGGTATTTGTAGCTCCTCTATCAAGTTGAAGAAGTTTCCTCTATTCCTATTTTTCTGAGTTCCTTTTTTTTTAATCATGAAATGGATGTTGAATTTTGTCAGTTGCTTTTTTATGCATTGATTGATAATGATCATGTGATTTTTATCTTGTTAATATGAAGGAATACATTGATTTTCAAATATTGAACCAGCCTTGCATCCCTGAAATAAATGCCACTTAGTCATAGTGAAAAAATCTTTTTATATGTTGCTGAATTCTTTTTGTTAACATTTTGTTAA